AATGGCAATCCCACAACAAAACCAGCTTGAACATGAGCGTCCAACATTACATCTGATTCCATTCCTGTGAGGAATCCAAGTCTCTGTGTCATCTCAACAACTGCTTCTCTGTCATTATTTGCACAAGCCATAACCTGATTGAATACATACAAGGAAGTAATCCTTCAGTTAATTCGTATGGACAGAAACCACATAACATTAAGAAGCTTGAAGAAAAGTCATCTACAGAACAAACCATATAAAATAGAGGTTTATGCATGAGAGGTCCAAGTCTAACAGTATTTTCTTTTTAAGAGTCTAAGTCTTAACAGTATAAATGGCTGGTTTAGAATGTCAACAGCTGATTATGGCATTCATGCAGAAACGTAACTGAAGCCACTAGCACTATTTTAGGGGAACTGACCATTCTCAAATAGTCATCAACAAATCGTTTAGGATAATCTCGAGCAGCTCCAAAATCAAAGAGATTGATTGTTTAGGTGGCCTCATTAAATAGGAAATTACCCCAATTGGGATCAGTCTGTATCACAGCAAGTAAAACGTTTAAGACACAACTTCACTTCTTCAACATGACTATAAAATGAAGCAAAAATGTTACAAAGCAGAGCGTTTTAAGAGAATAAGAGCTAAAAGATTATCTAAAAAGTCACTGAAAATCAAAGTCTAGATTCTTCTTGAATAGATTGCATCAGGCTTAGATGGCAAAGCATAAATAACCTTCAGGAATTTAAATGCTTTGTAAAGAGAAGTAGGCAAGAGAGAGAAACACACAAACAAAAACTTCGTAGAAAAGGAGAATGAAACTAAACCTGCATAAAGCGGAATACGAAAAGCTCCATAAATGTCAGTTGCAGCAACTTCCTCCCAACATGATTACGAGTTCCTTGGTCTAGTAATGCAACCTTGTCAATTGGAACTCCTGTAGCAAGTAACATTTCAAAGTAAACAAATAGAAGAGATAACTCTATCAACCCTATAAATATAACTGTTTTAGAGACAGGAAAATGAGATTTATGCACCTTGATCTACAAGATTTTCCAGCTAAAATATTTTCTTTTATACTGTTGCAAGAAACTGTCCTCCGAATGCTAAGAGAACATAACACAATACTATCCAAATGTGATGCTTTAAACTAAAATAGGAACATAAAAGACACGAGATGATTACCAGAAACAAGTTCTGTTGTCAAAATTCTTTTGCTTGAAATATCGTCCACAACAAGCAGAACATAAAAGCCCTCACAGCCAGATAGCATATCACAAAATCTTTTCTGATTGGATGCCTCCAACTGATAGTCACATTCACGAGACAGTTCTTCTTTGGCCACCTGCAAGAATTCAAGGACATAAACATCCAAATTTTCAACACGGAATCTTCAGTAATCAAAAGCCCCAGATGATGTCCTCCAAAAGCCTCTAGCATTGAAATACAGGACTAAGCAACCATTTTGAGACGGGGAAAAGTATGGTCAGAACCAGTTAAAAGGTGTGGCCGTGTGGGAATAAATATCAGACGATGCAAGGTAAAGATACTCTAAATCTAGTAATATGACAGGTTGGGCCAATCAGCATTGTCAATTAAATCTGTAAATCCCTGTCATTACTGGCATTGGAAAGCCAATCAACATAGTCTCTTAGAAACTTAATAATGCAATTTCATATGCATAAGTGGATACCATCATTGCTCTGTCAAGATACAGTCCTTCAGGAATTAGATTTGTATAATCTAATAGAAGTTTGACATTCTCAATGTCACTCTCAATGCTATTTGCCACACCAGGGTACTGAATTTTCATTGCTACCTCCATACCATCCTTCGTGAAAGCTCTGTGAACCTAGAAATAGGAAAGGGGGAAAATGTTTTACGCTAGTTTGAAACTGATATGAAAAGACAAACTGGATAGCAGTTGTTTCATCCAAATCACCTCACCTCACCTCATTGAGCAATATTTTCTGTTTGAAATGATGAAACAGAGCACATAGATGGGAAACCGAGAAAGAGTAAATGGTAAAACAAGCATGATAACTTTTCAAATATTAAATCATAAGAAAAACTTAAGAACTGAATTTCATATATAAAATAAAGGAAACCACAAATAGTAACAAGCATCAAACTCCCAGGGAAAAATTAACTTCCACAAGGCAGTTAAATGATCACGTAAAACACCATCTAAAAGGAAGAAACAGAGAAGGTTGATGGGAAAGCGAGAAAAGGGTAAATGGATAATGAAGCATGATAATTTTCAAATGCCGATAACCGAAAGAAAAACCTTAAGAAATGAATTTCATATATACAAAAAAAAGGAAACCATGTGTAAGTAGTAACAGGCATCAAACTGCCAGGAACAAATTAAATTGCACTCGGCAGTTATAACATAAAACACCAGTGAACACAAATGAAGGTTGAAAATAATAGAAATGCCAGAGAATTACACAGTGAGCCATTCCAACCAAATAACACCACCGCCAGAAATAATAATGGGTGAATGATATCAACATCTCAACATACAGATAAAAGATTTTGGAGATAAGACTCTTTGTAGCATGATCAATGAATAAGTAACATAGAGACAAGAGAACATTCTGCCTTAAGAGGTTGAAGACAACATATAAGGAACATTCTAGTCGGCACAACAACACAATAAACATGCAACCATTTGCCTTACCTAGCCAATACTTGCAGCGGCCAGGGATTCATAGTCAAAACTAGACAACTTTGTGGACCAACCAGGACCAAGTTCAGCATCCAAAATTTGATTGACCTGGCTCCTTGGCATAACATCTGCGCCTTGACAGACAATATCCAGAGCAGCCAGTATCTAACGGAAATGAAAGAAGGTAAAAATATTGTTGAGCCACCATACAAAGTCTATTAGGCAAGTAAACTTGATGAGAAAATCAGAAAATATAAGACATAACCTCCGCAACACATATTCTTAAATTGCTTCTGAACAAAGAACCAAAAATATACCTTTCCCACAATAAACTTTATCCCACTAACAATTTACATTAAACACCACTGTAACACACAGCAAAAAAATAAATAAAAAATAGCACACCGGAGCTGGAACAAGGGATTCATCCTGTATGCTTAGCATTTGTTCAACTTTTAGAGCTGCGCCACACATCTTACATAATGCAAGGGCCAATCTTTCTGCATTTTTTTGGGACAAGAATGGTGAAACAGAAGACTGCTTTTCATTTGAGTTTGGAGAACCATAAACAAGCCTCTTGGCGGATTCCTGAACAGTTCCCCAAGCAAGGCCAGCTCCTAAAGCAGCAAAGCTTTTGATGTTAAAACAACATGTAACTAGTTAGCAAAGTAGCAAATATATATATATATTTTGCAGTAGCGATAAATGATAAAATATTAAAAAAAAACACAAAAAAATTACCCAAATGCCCTAGAAAATGGAGTAGCGGGAACCTTCCTTTCCCTTGGCCTTCGTCTCTTCACGGGTACTGGCACTTCTGCCTCCGTTTTCACCACTTTGGTACCTTCCACGTATCCTTTATTATCCGAATTGGTGTTGCATTCTCTCTCTAATCCATCATTAAGAACTTTCTCCGCGAGAATTGATTGATCATTATTACTGAAGCCATTATCAGAATCGACTCTTACATCATTGGTAAAACTCGCACGTGCGGTGTCGTTCGAGGAAGAATTCACGACGTCCTCTTTCAGAAAACTCACGGACATTCCCTTTCGTTAAGCATGTAAGGTCCGTAGCCGAAACTACAACGTTTTTCAGAGAAGAGGCTATTAAGGTTTCGAGGTCGCCTTTTTTAACGTGCTGGATGGTTTGGGAACGTTTAGCGACCTCTTTAGCGATTAAGGCGAGTGCATTCACGAGCCTCCCTAGCTGATTCAAAGAACTCATGGCGCGTTTTATTCAAAGCATCGCCTATTTCAAACCCCCCCCCCCCCCCAAAAAAAAGAATTTTTACCCTACCTAACTAGAAGTTAAACAGCCATATAGAAAGTTTGAAGAAATCGAGAGATTTGAAACGAGAGGTAGGTTGTATCCTAAAACCAAGGTCTCAACTTTCGACCCAATTCAAGACAACGTGGATTTTGTCGTGTCCATGAAAATTGCGAAGCAAGAAGGTGGGTGACGTGGAGCCTTCTGGTCCGGTAAGCCCTAATATATATTTATTTCCCCTCTTCTTGGGCCTGCTTCAGCCAAAATCCCGAAAGGAGAAGTCGTCATATCGGACTTTGTTGGTTCATCTATAATATATTCCTCACATGATCAATTTTAAAATACAGAACTCAATAAATAGAATTTCATTTATCTATAATATTTTCCATAATTTTTAATTCGAGTATCTTATAGCGACGAATACTATAGTTTAATCTAATAAATATAATTAAATGCAAAACTCAATAAATAAAATTTCATTTATCTACAAACATATGAGGTCATTTAAGTTACTTTTGGTAGAGTCAGGAGAGACAAAACAGTGGCTTAGATAATACTGTTTCATACTGAATTTTATAAGTGGATATCCCAGGAATATGATTTTGTTCCATATACCCTCGAAAGAATAATAACCACTTGGCCCCTATTCCATATTCTGTTTATGAAATGCAATGCAAATCATGCACCAATCTATTGCCTATTGCGTCTTTCTAGAGGGAAGAGAGGTGGCCAACATGCATGACAACACTCTTGTTTTATTTTAGGTGCAAAATTTGCTGAGAAAATCAATCACTGAAAACGACAGGCAACAGAAGGTAGGATAGCTTTAACAATTCAGAATCATACATTTTATTTGTAGAGCAAATTCGTAGGCTGAGTAAAAAAAGAAATAAAGAGGAAATATGCTCACCACCTCAGCCATTTCGGCATCAACCTCAAATGTATTTGGTCATCCTTGACTTCATATAAATAGGCCCCATCACCCACTACTGGGATAGTGCATAACGAGTCTGTTTTTGGTTAGTACTACTGGTCTAGGTATTTGTTTTTATGATGGCACTATGATTCTTTCTAATGTTTTCTTGTGTATTTTCTTTTCCGTTCTCCGTGTTTGAGCCTGTTCTCCATGATTCTGTGGTTAATATTGATGGGGTTGTCTTGCTTTCATCGTAATCTAAGTGGAATATGCTGTCGTTTTCAAAACAAAGAGAGAACACCATCTTTTTCTATTTATTACTAAGCTCTTAGTTCTGGCTCTTCCACAGCTCTCTTGGATGGGTTCATTCACGAATATGAACACTGTTGGGAGGGACACTGAAGCTAAATATGAATGCTTGCTTTTTGGTATGATATTGTTGTATACCGATTAATAACTGATTTTGCTCAACAATTTTGATTTCTGGAGCTTTCGATTTTGATTTACAGACATGGATGGTACTTTATACCCTTTGAGTCTAGGTGTTAACTTAGCATGCCGCAAGAATATTGAAGGTATGATCCTAAAATGTTAACATTTTCTTTGTTTTGCTTACCAATATTGAAGATGTAAGCAGGTTGACTTGTTTTTGCTTGTAGAATTCATGTTGCAATATCTTAATATTGAAGAAAGTGAAGTATCAAGAATGTGCTTGGAATTATACAGGGAATATGGAACAACAATGGCTGGTTTAAAGGTGATTGAGATTTCAGAGTTTATCTTGTCCTAACTCCCCTTATTATATCTGAAAAATTGTTTAACAAATGTCAATTTTTTAGGCTCTTGGCTACAAATTCGACGACGACGAGTTTCATGCGTACGTTCATGGAAGATTGCCATATGAAAAACTTAGGCCTGACCCTGTGTTAAGAAACCTGCTATCATCCCTGCCACAGCGGAAAATCGTAAGTGAAGTTGATCCCTTTAGCCAAATCGAGGGGAAAAAAACAGACACCATATTTTGGCTGTTTCTAAGACGTTTGTTGATGTTTTTTTTTTTAGATTTTCACCAATGCTGATAAGGCGCATGCACAACAAGTTCTGAAAAGGTTGGGTTTAGAAGATTGTTTTGAAGGCATCATATGCTTTGAAACTCTTAACCCTCCCCTTGAACCAGCTGATATAACTGATGCCTGTAGCGTCTGTTCCAAGCCACCAATTCTCTGTAAACCCTCACTGGATGCTTTTAAAGCCGCTATTCATATTGCAAATGTCGACCCGAAGAAAACAGTAGAAACTCGGATCCTTTCTGAATTTCAACACATTTTCCCCCTTCTACCCTATCGATATAATATCTATCTATTCCCTTTTCGTTTTCCTATCTCAGATTTTCTTTGATGATAGTGCTCGTAACATTGCAAGTGGAAAAGAGGCTGGGCTTCACACGGTTATTGTAAGCTATGATATCATTTCCAATGGAATCACGTAGAATCCTGGATAACATACGCATGAATCATTGGCCTTCTTTTCTAACATGCTAGTATAACAATGGCAGGTTGGGAGCTCCATCCTTGTGCCCGGTGCAGATTACGCCTTGAGTAGCATCCATAATATCAAAGAAGCGATACCGGAGATATGGGACGGCGAAGAGGAGCAGATGGAGCAAGTTATCCAATCTTCTGCAATTGAAACCGTGGTCCTAGCATAGATTTCACTTCAAAGTTGAATCTGTCCTTGTTATATAATCTACATGGGGAAATGTTTCTATTAAGCTTATAATATGGACTACAAATTAACTATATCCACATGTACTTACAATATAAGAAATGCTTATGTTATGTATCTTTAAGATTCATTTATTAAACACAAATCTACGGGATAGAAAGAATCAATGGGAAGGAGAGTATAAAAATTAGCAAAATCAGATGTTCCATTAAGAGCAGAGCTTTGATAAAATCTGCAGGCTTGTATCGCCCTAAAACTGATAAGAACAACACTGTCCTGGGCTCATGGCAAGAGCTTACAGAGTATAAATCCAAAATTCTCATAGAAATCACATATTACCAGGTAAAGTCATCCTGCTGCAGGAAAAAAAAAAGCAATATTAAAATGTGCATTACTTGTTTTTGTGGTTACATGAACAGGCTGGGTTAGCCTTCTATCGGCAGCTCTCCACAATTAACAATTCTGCATGGCAACTTTGGGCTATCCGACCTGCTCGTCTCTTGGGATTCCAGTTTGCGCACAACATCCAATCCATCAATAACATGCCCAAAAACGACATGTCGATTATCTAGCCATGGAGTCTGTAAAACACAGACACAATGAGCCAGGGGGGGGGGGGCAAAAAGTGAACGAAAAACTTAAACCAGATAAAAATTTTGGGGCAACTGAAAATTCAAGCTTTGCAACTGATTCAGCAGCATGATCAATTAGGTAAGTATCAGCAGAGATGAGAAGTAATCAGCTATAAGTGAGTATACACAAAGAAACATCTATCTTCTAGTGAACATTTACACATTCTTGATTCCCAAAGACCATCATAAAACATACTTCCAAAAAATAATGGTAAAAATGAAGGAATCAAGGCAGCAGAAGTTAGCTCACCTTTACTGTGCAAATGAAGAATTGGCTCCCATTGGTATTAGGACCTGCATTAGCCATGCTTAATACTCCAGGTCCAACATGCTTCACTGCAGATAAAAAGCTCAAAATATCATAACCAGGATAACAATTCATTAAGGAATATAGATTAGCATAACAACACGGAATGAAGCTCCCAAAATTTGAGCTTAGCATGCTCATTCTACAACTTACAGGCAAAGCTCTCATCTTTGAACATGGATCCGTAAATACTCTTTCCACCAGTTCCCTGCAACCAGCAAAAGCACCAGTTTTCTACTGATCAACGGGAAGTTCCTCTTACAAAAAGATAGCAATACATCTTCAGAAAGCCAAAAGATAAATAAAGAGAGGGCTTACATCTCCATTAGTAAAATCACCACCCTGGATCATGAAATCTTTAATGATACGGTGAAAGGAGCATCCTTTGTAACCATACCCATTCTCCCCTGCAAAAGAAGAAGAAAAAAAAAGACCCTAGTAAACAAAATACTAAGAAAAAAAGAAGAGTACTTTCAAAGAATGGATATGGAAGTCTGCTCTAAGCTTAGCTTGCCTGTGCAGAGGGCACGGAAGTTCTCAACAGTTTTTGGAACAACATTCCCAAAAAGACCAATCACAATCCTACCAACAGTTTCACCTCCAATTTCGACATCAAAGAAGCACTTGGTTGTCACTTCTGCTTGTAATTCAACTTCCTAAATAAAACCCCAAAAATGTAAAAAGATTCCGAATAACGGATAATTTATCCAGTGTAGAGAAACTGATAATAAAGTACATACATTGACCATGGACTTGCAAACCATTCTCCGATACTTAACCGAAGAAGATTTAGGAACTTGGGTAACAGGGAAACTTGGTGCATAGTTTAGTTTCGATGTCAAGGCTCTTCCGAGAGAGTTAAAAATTCGACCTTGGGAGTAACCAGACCATGAATTTGCTTTTCGCGGCCTATACGCATTTGAAACAACTTGACCCTGTAGGAAAGAAAAAAAAAGAAAAAAATTAAGGACAAAGGATAATATTATGAAGCAAAAGTAAGAATCAGCTAACAATAACTCGCCTGGGAAGCAAGGCGTGGGCTATGGACCATCTGCAGTGAGAAAGCGGAAGCCATTGCGGTGGTTGAACAGCAAAAAGAAAAATGTTTTCAGTTCTTGGGCGCGTCTAGAATGAAAAAGGAAAAGGAGTGTGTCTATTATATGGATAAAAGAAGCCGGTTAGTGTGTACTCGTCGTCGGCCTCGGCTCGGGTGCAGTCTAGATTAAAAAACACCAGATAGATTTACGTTGTACAGGCTGGCGATGATTGGGTTGGGGACTTGGTAGGTGAGGCTTCGTTTGCATCATTGTTTTCACCGGATATTCTTCAAATTATCCGTCGCCACGGCCCACGCATTGCGGAATGTTGTCTTTGCTTCGACGATTAGGTTTGTGTACATTAGAATTGGGCTGATGAGTAAGTTCCGAGCTGGTGACTTGGGCTTTTTGGCCTCTGCGAGGTAAAACATGAGTTATGAAGATTGTACGTTATCCAATACTTAACAAGAGATTTGATACTAGAAAAGAAAAACATTTAGAATTTTAATGATAAAAAAATATTATTCTTTTTATAAGTTTTGGGTTTAAACAATTATATGTTTGTAGGGCATGTATGCTATCAATTTATTTTATGTGTTAACAAGTGATGCATAGCGGTTTTGAAAGTTTATTTTGGAATATATATAAATGTGTTAAAAATGAGTGGAACAATTTCACTATCCATGGATGAGTGAGAAAGGTTTTGTCCATATAACGTTGATTGTGACAACCATTTTTATAAGTGTTTCAAAATGTATTTGAAATTGTATAGGTGTATAAGCTATGCATCATTTGATAATCACTCTTAGTGAAATTAGATTAATTGACTATTTGTTCTTATGATACCTTTGGATATGAAAGACATGTCTAGGAAAGAATATTCTAGGTGTTTTGTATAGGTGTATGTGATATCGGGTTATACGGGGTAAGGTTGGTGCGTTGAGCAATGCTCCGAGAAAATTACGGGGTAAGGTTGGTGCGTTGATCTTTGCTCCAAATCATGTGATTTTGGACCTAAGTGAGTCCACAAATAAAAGAGGGTTGCATGGAGTCTGCTTATCCAATGAGTGATTTGTATTTTGATCTAAAGACCATTGGTCTTAAATAGAAACAATGTATGTGTTGTATGTGACTTTATCGAAAAAGTAATTGTGCATGTGATTTGCTGCAAGGCATACGATAATGTAAAACATGTTTATAATTTGAATTTTGTGTGCATTTATGATGCATTAAGTGAACACTGAAACATGACATTATGGTATGATCATTGAGGTAAAAACAAGTAAGATTTCATGGCATTTAGGTATGTTTTTCTTTAGCCTTGGCATGCACATCATATTTGAATGTTTAGCCATTCACTGAGCATTATAACTCACATTTGTTGTTTAATATTTTTTTAGATCTTTACTTGTCGGTTTAAGAGCTCGAGGGACAAGGCACTTGGTGGTGATCAAAGCAAGGGAGCTTTTGTAAAGTTATTTATAATCTTGGTTTTAGTTTGAGTCAATATGGGATCCTTAGTTGAGCTTTAAGTTAATTTGTTCTTGTGACACATGCTAATACATAAGTGACCTATAATGACTTAAGTTATACTTTGATTCTTGAATGAATAATGAAATGATGAGTTTTGATATTGGATTACATGTTATGCAATATTACTAAGTATGCTTAAGTTGGCCAAAGTATGATTTATGCCTTAAATACATGTCTTGATCACCTAGACAAGTTATAATAAGATGACATAATATGCAAAACTTATATGAAGCATGAAAAGACTAATAATGCAAAAAACGATTAGTTAACTTGTGTTTAAGTCGACTTTTTATGTAAAATTTGACTTTGGATGTTAAATATTTGTATGTTATTTTAAATGATGTTATGAAGCAAGCACATGTATATTATGGCATGTTCTAAATGGTTTAAGAGTGCCCAAACATATACGTAGACCTTAGGATCGATTGCATGACTAATTGGATACATGTTCATGCACATTAATATGAATTTTCTGTTTTTTTTTCAGAAAAAGGATTGATCATTTAGGCAAAGGATCAATCCCTTGCTCAATTTTTAGCTAAAGGATAGATCCTCATGAAAAGGGATCGACCCTTCATTGTGTGCTTGATAAAAATAAGTCAAATTGCATTTATTAAAGGCCTAAAGTGTTCCCTAGGTCTTTAGATGGTCCCTAATGTAACATCCTCGATATTGGGGGTGTTACACCTAAACTTTAAAATATATTTAATTTGGTCTAGAACTTGATTTCTTAATTAAAGAATGGTTTTAAGTCAGATTTGGTTGAAATTTGTTCTTAGACTCTATAATAATAACAATTTCATAATTTAATCTTCAATTTCATATTTTTTTTATTTTCATATATTGAAAAACTTATATTTTAGTCCCTAAATTGAGTATGTTCAATTAGTCCCTAAATGATGTCTGATTAAGCTGAAATTTTACATGTGACTAATTAAGGATTAAAAATGAATATTGATAAACTTAATTTAGTATTTCTAGATTGAATTATTCGATGATGTGAAATTATCGATTTACTCCTACTTGGTTAATAATGTATGTCTTACAATGCATCGATTGTTTAGGTGATGTTAAATTGTTATTTGTTTATTTGTTGTCAAGTGTTGCATGATGTATGTTAAAATGTTATTTGTTTATCTGTTGCCATGTGTTGAGCTTGTAAGACCAAGTTCGAATCCTACCACCGTCACTCTTGGTAGACAATATATAAATTCTTATGTAAATCCAAATTGAGTCTTAAGTATACCCTGACTTTAGAATATAAGAGTCACACCTGACTTAAATTTTTATGTAAAAAAAAACAAATGATTTAAAATACGATTTATAAACATGTAGGTTATCTAAAACTTTTAACTTTCCCTCACCGGTGAGCAATCATATTTATGCACATCACACGAGTTTAGACACCCCCACAGTAGAACACGTTCGATTGTGTTGAGTCAAAAAATTTTGAGTTATTTAAGTTAATTAGTCTTATTTTACAATCCAAAGTTGACTTAAAAAAATTTAGTCGAGTTGAGTTTATAATATTCGAATAGAGTCAAGTGGAGTCGAATTTTTGTGTTTTTTATTTAAATTTAATTGTAAATATTTATAATATTATGATATTATTTGATTCAAATTTAAATATTTTATATAACTATATACAAGACATATATATTTCTTTATATTTTTTTCATATGCGATATATATATATCATGCAGAGTTAAAAGATTCACCGCAAACTTAAATTTTCTACAAGTATTTGATTCTTCACTCCATTGTCGGCTTTTAAGTTCTGTTTTGCTTTTCAGATTTTATCGATGGCGTGAAGCCGTGAAATTATTATTATGCTGGTTTCCTTATCAGTTTTTAACTTTGCAGGATTGTGCTGTGGAATTACTAAGCTTCCGGTTCTAGTTGGAACTTCTGCTATTCTTCGTGGGAGTAATTCCATAAAAAATCAAGTTAAAAAATTAATTGTCCTATTATTCATGTTTTATGGTTTCATAAAGTAATCAAGATATGCTCAACATAATAATACATTGCAAGTTTGAAACAAGCCTAAGGCTTTGAATGCCATTGTCCTATTATTGTGATTACTTGTTCGATGTTTTGTTTAAGCACGTACTTCAAACTCTAACTTAACTAACAACTATGTGTAACGTTCAGGATAACACTATGAACTCCTAAGAATATTTTGAGTAACAGTCATGTGTGACACTCGAGATGATATTAAGAACACCCAGAATTAATTAACTAGCAATCATAAGTGACACAAGACTTAAATTTTATTTAGATAAATATTTACACCACGCTATTTACAAGTGTTGAAATAAAAAATTTCTGTTTCCTATTGATTGAACAACGAGAGGAGTGGTAAAGATTTTAATTTTAAATTTTCTATTGATTAAACTATGAGTGAGGTAGTAAAGATTTTAATTTTAAGTCTTCTATTGATATTAATCAAATCCATTCTATATTAGTCTAATTCATCAAGCACATACTTTAATAACACAAGGCAGACATAGTTATCAAAATATCAAAAATACTAAATTAATCATCTAATTAAACCTAGTTATCATTGGGTGCCAAAGTGATTCTTAGGTAGTAGGTAAACCCAACAGCGGCCAGATTACAGCTTACCTTTGATATAGTCTGTATAGATTAGGGTAAGTTCCATTCGAAGATCGATCATGGTCATTAAAGCATTTGCCCTGTACCTCGATGAAAGTGGAGCCACAGCAGAGTCATTGATACTCTCATGTACCTTTATCATCTCATGGTATGCTGTATATAGACTTCAATTGGAAAAGCTCTAGATTTCTTGTCAAGAATCCCACAAGCAACCTCAAACCACTTGCTCGAATCATCAATATTTCCCCTAAGAAACAGAGCCTTTCCCATCAAAACAAACGCCAGAGCTCGATCTTCACTGTCTTCCTCCGCCCGCTCAACTATACGTACCAAATCGTAAACCGCCTCATCGTGCTTCCCCGACTTGATCTGCTTATTGGCGGCTTTGATTTTTGCACGAATTGACTCCGAACCAACGCCCCAACTCTCCAAGACTTGGTCCCAGTTTCTGTAACGCGAATACTCAGCATCACTCACAAACTCCTCCGAGTGGAGTGCACCATATATTGCCTTGATATCCTCAGTACTGATGAGATCCTCTTTCTTTAACCGCTCAAGTATTTCAACGCCCGTCTGAAAACTCGATATGCTGAGATGATCATATTTTTCTACACCGTGAAGAAAACACCCTAACAACTGCAAAGCCATGACATATGGTATTGAAAGTTTTCCATATTCACGCAATAAGTCCATTGCTTTCATAGCGAAAGGGGAAAACTTTTTCGGGTCTTCACCTTCTCGTTTGATTTTCCGTCCTATTTTCAACGAAGCTATCCCCAACACTCTCTTATCAAAACACCCTTCCATGGTTTCCATATCTTTGAACACCCTGATCATCTCTTCAGTGGTTTTAGCAGATTCGAAAGCTTCCACGAGACCAGATTTCTCTCTCGGTTTCGAGGACGATTGGGTTGGGTTTTCCGAAAGGGTACCGAGTTTACGAAATGGGTTTGTTTGGAATCGGTGGGATTGAAAGATTGAGCCATGGATTTTGGCAGGGGATTGGAACAGGCGAGGGTCCGTCGAGTGAAGCGGTGAAGAAGACAATGTAGATGGAGAATAATTTCTCCGGAGGAGGGGAGCAGATGCCCTAAACATTTGGCGGTTCAAGTTTGAAAGAAGTAACCTAGACTTCATCTTGGAAATGGACAAGTTTGCCGGCGAATTTGTAAGCTATGGACTAGGGTTTTTGTATATTCCTTGCAAAGTAAGACCCTATCAAAATAACTTTTATAATAAGCAGAAAAATAACAATTTCTTAAATAAAAATGATGTTATATTTATAAATTAATGGAATATGGAAATTCAGGATTGGGTTAATATCAATTTACCCGGTTCGGAGCATCTTGGTTGCAACTATGAGCGTTGGGATTTTCTGTTTAGTTATGTGCTTTGGAATCCTTGGTTGGATCGGAACGCCTTTGTTTTCAACAATTTCAGTGATGCCAATGAGCCTGTGCTTGACCGTAGTCACCGCTTAATGGATCTTACTATGCGTGCAAGGGATGACCAACGTAGAGATAGTGCTTGAGATGTTAGTTCTTGTCGAAATAATTTACGATGGCTTCCTCCCCAGCGCAACTGGATTGAAATCAACTCGGATGGAGTTCGATGTAACGATAATGGTCTTGTCATGTGTGACGGGGTCGTATGGAACGATTGCGGTGAGTGGAGAAATACTTTGATTGTAAAGAAATGTTTATGCAAAAGTGAAATCAAGATTTCAATTTTTAAAAAAAATCAGTTTAAGGTCACCTAGACTTTGCTTTTAATGATGAATATGGTAAAATAAAAAATTATATGGTTTGAAGAACTCATTAATTAATGATAACGTATTTTTTAATGAATGACCTGAAACTGGTTGCAAAATGAATAACAACTCGATTTCTTGGGGTAATTTATTTTGAGTTCGAATTTTGTTGAACGTATTTTAGAAGGATTTTAGACCTTTTTGTAAGAAAATAAGAATGTTTGAAAGCTTGTGTAAAGTGGGTGAAAGTTGGATAGCTAAATTTGTGATTATCCCATTTATTCACAAAAATATACTCTCCCATCAATTGGGAGAATGTGAAGGGCATCCTAGGGGCGTGGCAAGCATGCATCTTTGTTCCTATTTTCTAATTTTATAAACTTTTTTGTAGTTCTCCCTGCATCTTCCCTCACTCGATTTTTATCTTATTTTTTCTTCAATCTTCTTCTTTCAAGTTTGTGTAGAGATTCTATAAAGCAAAATTTTCTCCTCCATGTGCCATTTTTTCAATTTAAAAAGTGGACAAAGATGGTGGTGGGTATTCTAAAGTTAAAGAGAAGATGGCAAAGAGCTAGGTCAAGAAGTCTTGTTGTGATTTTTTTTTTATAAAGGTGACATTTTTTTAACTCTCTTGTACTATTTGATAAGTCATATATATGATACCTGTGATTATAATACATGCATATTGTATGTCTTTAGGTGAAAAGTATGTTGAAATAATTAAAATGAAACTAAAAATTTAGCTGTCAAATCTGCCCAAAAGAAATAGTTGCATGCAAAATGGGTTTGAAAATTTGTATTAAATTTCATATAAATCATTAGGAAGTTAACTATACATCACTATAATCGAGATTCAGTCTAGTTTTAATTTAAATGATGAGAAATGTTATTGAATCTGGTTTCTTATAGAATAAACAAGACATGATTTGGAATGTAAGTTGCTACATTTCAATAATTAATATTTTAGTCATATTTTATGATTTTATAAACCCTAAATGATCAAGATATACTCAAACATAATATACCTTGCAAGTTCGAAACAAACATAAGAGGAGGCCATTGTTCTATATTTGTGATTTGTTGTTTGATATTTTATTTGCGTGTAGACTCTAAACTCTAACCTAACAAACAATTATGTGTGACGCTCAGTATAACACTATAAATACCTAAAAAATATTTGACTAACAATCATGGGTGACGCTTGAGATTACGGACACTCAAAATTATTATTTGACTAACAATCATAGTGACGTGAAACTTAAATTTCATTTAAATAAATATTTATACCACGCCTACTACAAGTGTTAAAATAATATTCTTCTGTTCTCTACTGATTGAACCATGAGGGGAGTGGTAACGATTTTAATTTTAAATTTTGTATTGGTCAAATTACATGCGAGTGATAAAGATTTTAATTTTAAGTCATCTGTTGATATTAATATCGGGATAATATCGAACCCATTCTATATTAGTCTAATTCATTAACCACACACTTTAATAACATAATACATATATATTTGTATTCTATATACAATCAAATTCAATATCTTAAGCAAATTCTGGTCTGTCCCTGTTAAATCCAATATGAGTTGGAGTTTTAATTAAATTCTGATGCTAAGGGCTGAAGCTTCCACTTTTCTGCCTTCGGTCTCCAAGAACGTTAATGACCTTTGGAATGACATCCGAGTGAAAAATCCTAAAGTCCATTGGCATTCATTGCTTTGGTTTCCTCTTCTTATTCCCAAATACAGTCTCATTGCGTGGATGGCTTTCCTCGACAGACTTCCTACAAATGAGAGACTTCACAGAATGAGTATTGTTCAAGACTGCCAATGCATTATTTGTGGTGCTGGTATGGAAACCAGAAACCATCTATTTTACGAGTGCCCTGTTGCCACTGCAATATGGACGAAAATCTACTCCCTTAATGGTCTTCGGCTTAGTCACTCCACTTGGACTGCTCACTTTGATTGGGCAGTGGATAATTGGAAGGGTAAATCCCTTCTTACTTCTATTATGAAAATCGCTTCTAATGCGTTGATCTACATTATCTGGAAAGAAAGAAATAGGACTTTTCCAATCTCATGCATCTACTGTTGAGGCTATGTTTGGAGAGATCAAGGAAATTGTTGGGTTCCAACTTAGGAGCAGGTTAACACATAGATTAGACAATGTTAACACTACTCTTTGTAATCTAAGGGTATAGTCTAATTTTGTTTTGATTAGCATTTTATTTTTAAGATGATCCTTGTATTTCTGAACTTTGTTATTTGTAGCAGTTCACTGCTCCTTGGGTAATAAAATCTAATTATCCAAAAAAAAATCAATATCTTAAAAGAAGATGAAAGATGTGTGATTCAGTTTATGCTCTCTTCTTTGAAAATAAAATGATTTTAAAAAAGAGTTGTAGGGTTTATCATCCCTTAAAGAAGCATAAATAAACTTTGAAAATAAGAGCCCTAACTCTAGCAGGAAGCTTAATGAGTAAATAATAAACAGGGTAAGATTTGAACCTCTACGGGGGTGGCTCGTTCGATTCTTGCTTTAAGCCTACAAAATATCGAAAGTATTAAATTAATCATCTAATTCAGTAGCTTAAAAAATAAATAAAATTAATCTAAAAACAACAATAACTAGATAAATCTTAATAAAGGCTAAATAACTCGATAAATAACGCCCCTGAAATTTATAGTCGATATCGTAGTTAAGGCAAAGAGCGATTCTTAAGTAGTAGGGGCCAAAATTACGGCTTACCTTTGATATGGTCTGTATAGATTCGGGTAAGTTCCATTCGAAGCTCGATCATGGTGAGTAAATCATATACCTTGTACCTCAATAAAGATGGAACCGCAGCAGGCTCGTTGATACTGTCATATAGGTTTGTCATCTCATAGTATGCTGTACAAACTTCAATCGGAAAAGCTCTGGCTTTCTTGTCAAGAATCCCACAAGCAACCTCAAACCACTTGTTCGAATCATCAATATTTCCCCGACGAAACAGAGCCTTTCCCATCAAAACAGACGTTAGAGCTCGATCCTCACTGTCTTCTTCCGTCCGCTTAACTATACGTGCCAAATCGTAAACCGCCTCATCGTACCTCCCCCACTTGATCTGCTTATCGACGGCTATGATATCGGCACGAATCGACTCGGAACCAACGCCCCAACTCTTCAAGACTTTGACCCAGTTTCTGTAACGCGAATGCTCAGCATCACTCACAAACTCCTCCGTGTGCAGTGCACGATGCATAGCGCTGATATCCTCAGTAAGACCCTCTTTCTTTATCCACTCAAGTAACTTAATACCCTTATTAAAAGACGCTATGCTGTGATGATGAAATTTTTCTACAGCGTGAAAAAAATACCCAAACAACTGATAAGTCATGACAACAAGTATTGAAACTTCTCCATGTTCACGCAATAAGTCGATTGCTTTTTCCGCAAAAGGGCAAATCGTTTCCGGGTCTTCACCTTCTCGTTCGAGTTTGCGTCCTATTTTCAACGAAGCTATCGCAAGCTCTCTCTTATCAAAACAGCCTTCCATATATGTGAAAACTCTGATCATCTCTTCAGTGGTTTTAGCAGATTCGAAAACTTCCACAAGATCAGATTTCTCCCTTGGTTTCGAGGACGATTGGATTGGGTTTTCCGCAAGGGTACCGAGTTTACGAAGCGGGTTTGTTTGGAATCGGTGGGGTTGGAAGATTGAGGAATGGATTTTGGCAGGGGATTGAATCATGCGAGTGCCCGTTGAGTGAAGCGGTGAAGAAGAAGACAATGTCGATGGAGAATAATTTCTCGAGAGGAGAGGAGCAGATATCCTAAACCTTTGGCGGTTCAAGCTTGAAAGAAGTGACATTAAAGCCTTCTTCATCTTGGTAATTGACAAGTTTCCGGTGAATTTTGCAAGCTCTGGACTAGGTTTTTGTAAGACCCTATCAAAACAACTTTTATAAAGCTCTGAACCACGGTTTTTGCAAGAATTCATTTTCCGCAAAAGAATAATAATTCCTTAAATAAAAATAAGGTTATATTTATAAATTAAGGCCTAATAGAAAAATAAATAATTAAATTATACATTTTTTCCATTTATATATTTAAATTATTTTTATTTAGAGTGGTTGATTAAGGTTCCATTCCGTTCTTATTTCTAATAAATGCATGATACATTATATTTGTTTTTTTGATTCAATGTTTGAGCCTTGACTTGAGTTATGGTGGATAATTTATTTTTGATTCGGGTTTTGTTGAACGTATTTTGCATGGTTATCAAAATCGGACCGGACCGGCCGGTTCAACCAGTTGAACCGTGAACTGGTGGCCTGTCCGGTCCGATTACCTCACAAAACCGGTCTGACAATGAACCGGTTAAAAACCGGTAGAACCAGCTGAAAACCGGTAAAACCGGGGTGAACCGGCTGAAAACCGACAAAATCGGTTTGAACCACCGATTCACTTTTTTTCTTTTTTAAAAAAAAACCAAATAACGTCGTTTGTTCAACGAGCCAAGTCAAATTCGAGTATTGCTGAGCTCGACTTGAACTCGAAAACTATAAAAGTAAGCTAAACTCAACTCAAAAACTCACGAGCTAAAAATTATCAAGTTCAACTCGAACTCGAAATATAATATTAAAACTTGAACTCGAAAAGGCTCGAACTCAAAAAAATTTAGAAGTTCGATTGAAGCCTAAAATTTGAGCTCAATTGAAGCGAAAGAATAGTTCGCTATGTGCTCACCAATAGGCTCCATGATTTTGAATGTCAATGTAATACCCCAAATTTTGACCAGTGACTAAAATGTAAGTTTTGAAAGTTAATGGCTAAAGTATAGAATTTGAAAAGTATAGAAACCGAAGTTGTAATTTTAAAAGTTATATAGTTTAGCCTATAAATGAATAGTTTGGATTAAAACATATATTTTAGTGGAATTTTATAAAGCAGTAAAGTTTGGTATTGAAATACAATATCCGGATCGAATCATAAGTTTATAAAAATCTCAAGGGAGGTATATTGGGGTTGGAAAAATTATAAGGATATTTTTAAATAGTGAGATTTTAAGTTGGATTTGTGGAATTTGGTGAGAATTGCACGATAAAGTGAGATAGTGCAATTTAGTGGTTAAAATGAAATTTTGGAAAATTTGAGGGTCAAAAGTGAAAATTTAGAGATGATATTTGATGGCTATTTGATAATATTAAAGTAGAGATAATGGAGTGACATGTGTGTAATTTTTGAAAGTCATTAATGGCAATTTAGTCTTTTGACCCCAAATGAATAAAAACTTAGTTTTAAATTGTTTTTAAAGGCCCAAGTAGGAGATATTTTGTGAGAATTTTCGTGAAACTCCTCTTATCTCCTCCAGCAAGCTGCCGAAACCATAGCCAAGGTGAGCCAATTTGTTTTCTTCCATTTTTGATCAAATTTAGTGAGTTTTTGGACTAAAGGGTGAAATAAGAAAATAATCCCCATTAAATTCTCTACAAGTTGGTATAATTATTTCATTTTTTTCATGGCTTAAATTATTAAAGTAGTGATTATGGTGGATGAAGGGAAAATTAGAATTAAATGAAATAAAGTTGAATTAAGATGTTAGGGGTGTTGTGGAGTTATAATTAAGCAAGAAGGTGGAATAAAAAAAAATTATTATTAGAAGGATTGGTTTAGTAATTCGGCCAAGGAATTACATGAAGGAAATGGTAAAGTTGGAATTTTAAGTTTTGCTTTAGTGGCTTGCAGTTTAACATGAGCGACATTTCATTTGTTTTGGTATGTGCGTAAATGTGATATAGTGGTTTTACCATGAAATATGGTTCTTACATGAATAAAAAATTCTTGATTCGGCCAAACAAGGAAAATTAAAAAAAAAATTTAAAAATTTCATATGGTCTAGAAATGATATTAGAAGTATTCTATGTGATTTGGGAGTTCATTTGGATCAATTTGGAAGCATAGATAAGAAAAAGAGCTAGTTTCCAAGTTTTGAGAATTTTGAGACTTTATTGCAAGAATGTAATTTTTGAAAGATTTAATACTGATTTTTGGTACTTGAGATGCTGAAATTTAATTTAGAAAGTTGATTTGAGTTAAATTGCAAAATTTTGGAATTTTTAGGTTGGAATTCGGAAAGCCTTGATAATGGTGGGACTTGGGTGTTAATTTTTAAAGGTAAAAGTACCATTTGGGCAAGTTAGAATAATTCTGGAAATTTTGGAAAACTGTGCTGATTTTGGAGTTTAAGTATTAAGTTGGGATTGAATTTCAAGTTTATCATGCTGATTTTGGAGTTTAAGTATTAAGTTGGGATTGAATTTCAAGTTTATCAAGTTGTAAGGTTGAAATTGAAAAGCCTAAGAAAGTTTAGGATGAAATTGTAAGCTTTTGAGTGTTGAATTATTGATTTAAACTTTTATTTTAGCTGCTGGAAATTTTATATATTTGATGGGAAATAATCATAATAGTGAAGAGCTATTATGAAATTAAAGGAAAAGTTGAGTTGAATTCTAGAAAGAATTTAAAATATGTGGTTAGATTTTATAATTCGTAAAAGTTGAAGAATAATGCTGAAAATAATTATTTATGGAATTGAATAAGTGTTTCGATAAGTTTGAAGTTATAATGGAGTTATGAGTTTGGTTGTTATCGATTTAGTTATCGATTTTACTATATAGATTTTCAAATGTTAAAACGAGCTTATATTAGTACGATACTAATATGTAGTTCGAACAATTTTTGTTTTATAATTTGGTATTGTCAGACTACGTTAAATCTAGCAATCCGAACGATTCAAAAGGAAAGGACAAAGCTCGTGACTAGGATTATTATATACAAGTTCTGTAGTGAGGCAAAGGTGAGTGCAATTTATTTATTTATTTATTTTTTATCGAGGACGACTTGCGATGAGTCAACCTCATTCAAATTTACAATATGATTTATAAAGTTTATAAAGAATATTTTTATAATATTCTATATCAGTTTATGAATGATTTAGGGTATGAACTGCCCAAACATGATATTTTTTATTATGGATTTAATTATGGTATATGAGCCATTGCATGTATAATGAGAATTATTGGTACACTTGGCATGCCATTAGTTGAGTATTATCAGCTTTGGTACATTCGTGTATCAATGTTATCATATCAGCTTTGGTACATTCGTGTATCAATGTTATCCTATCAGCTTTGGTACATTCGTATATCAATGTCCAGCACCGTTGGTGCTTATTCAGGTTATGATGGCACTGAAGTGCATCATATCTCAATATCAGTTACGATTTGCACCGTGTTGTGCATAGTGCGCACCTTACTCACGTATCTTATATTCTTATAAATATGCATTGGGCTATGAAAATGAATATGCAAGTTGTGAATGATTTTCAGTTAACAAAAAACATGATGTGCTTATTTTATTAGATATGATTTATCAGAATTTTCATGAGTTCATGATTTAAAAAGAAATTTCAGGTCTCAGTGAAGAAATCGACTTGGATAAGTTGGTTTGCTAGTTTAATGTTTTAAGTTGAATTATTTTATTTATGTTTATGATATTTTCAGATTTTACTCACTCTAGATTATTACTGCCTCACTAAGTTATACTTAGCACGTGATGATTTTCATGCGTAGGTTCTAATAAGGATAAGTGCGATCAGTAAGGAGCTATCGAAGCATCTTTCTGGAAAGACATACATATCATCAGTATCAGTAAGACATCTATAATGTTTCTTTTGACTTATAGTGGCATGTATAATTATATCAGTAGTTTCTAATTATCGTAGTTATTTTAAATAGTTTGTAATAATAAACTAGAACTATTTAGTTTATTTTACTTAGTTTAGTTTTATCGGTATATATGCATGACAAGAATTTATTACATTATTATGTTTTTAAAAGATTTTACGAAAATACATGGTTTAGTAAAATTACTGAATAAATAATGAATTTATTTTCCTGTAATAAAGAAATGAATTATAAGTTGAAATATACTTTAAAATATATTTTTAAAGTTAGAACAAGAGTGTTTTCAAAATAAACAATTTTTTTACGGAAATTTTAGTTCAGTAAATGTTTTTAAGTTGATGTGACATCTTTGACTAGTATATTGAGACATATACGGGTTAAGGGTGTTACATTTATTGGTATCAGAGCTACAAATTTAGCCGATTCTCGGCCTAAACCGAGCCTATAATATGTCGGAAATATGTACATGCCACTAGGATGTCGAAATTACTGATATGGTATAGTTTGATGATTTTATTTATGATGCTGCTCCTTACTAACGTAAAATTGTGCTTTTGTTTAGATGTCGGGTTCGGAAGGCATAAGACGGGCCACCGAACAAGAGGTTCCTGAGAGAACCGGTAGTGGGAGTAGTAACGAGGTAGAGCACGTACCCCAACGTTTAGGGAGAACATGTACCTCAGGAAGTACCCGCTCTAGATCAAGGAACGTTCTTACAAGCTCTAAAGGTTATCTTAGCTCGATATCAGCCGGCAACAGCACCTTCCCTTCCTCCGCCTCCACCTTCTCCTCCAGTTCCAAGAATATCGGTTCTGAAAGAATTAAAAAGTTTAGGAGCTGCAGAATTTAAAGGTGAAGCAAATAAAGGCCCAGTAGTAGCAGACATGTAGCTGAATGATGTAAAAATAATGTTGGACAATCTTCATTGTTCGGAGGGTGAGAGATTGGGGGGAGTAGTTTCATTGTTATGAGGCCAGGCTCGTATATGGTGGACGAACGTGACGACACGTGTTCCTCCAGATCAGATCACATGGCAGTTTTTATTAGAAGCATTTCAGAAGAAATATATCGGAGAGCAATTTATTACTCAGATGAAGCATGATTTCTTTAATCTGATCCAGGGTGGTAAATCTGTTTACGAGTATGAATGTGAGTTTAATAAACTTGCTTGATATGCCTCAGAGATGGTTCCCACCTAGAGAGATATATGTTAGAAATTTATTCAAGGTCTCCGTCCCAGACTCATAGAACT